GTGATTTATATTTTGAATGAATAAGAGTCCCAAAAATTAAAGAAGTATTTGGGTTTACTTCGAAATAAATGCCTTCAAAGTGAAAAATTGTTAACGACTTTTCTAGTTTTTTTGAATTACAAAATTCATATGAACCAGTAATTCTTCAACAATAATTAGTTTTGATACTTATAAATTACTTACAATATACTGTCATTATTCATTTTTGAGAAGAAATTACTGACAATATAATTTCTTTGTCAAAAAGAAAAATTTTGTAATAGAATAATTAATTAAAGTAAATGAATAATAATATAATTAAGTAAAAAATATTTATCTACTTTAAAAAATTAAAAAAATAATTATTATTTTGAGATAAATTTAGAATAAAAAATAAAAATTATTTAAAAATAAAAGTAATATCATTTTTATATTTTATATGTTGAAGAAACTTAAGATAGAATCCAATTGCATCAAGAAAGAGAAATGATATCAATTATTTGTTAGTTTGAATGGAAATAATTTGATTATTTTTAAATAAGATTTCAAATTTGAGTCTTATAAATAGAAATATAAATATTAAAAGAGCTTCGAGTTTGATGTAGCTTAATTTTAAATTAATTAAAATTTATTGTAATTTTTAAATATCAAAAATTAATAAAAAAAAAGGAGAGAAATCATAAAAAAAATTTTAGAAAGGTGTCTATCAACTAGTATTGTAGAACTTTAAGCGGACTGCTTTTAATGATGTTGGAGAAGAACAGAAAATGGACCAAGGACAATTAAACCTGAATAGATAACAAAGTGATTGAAGAGTGAAAAGATAACTTTCTGGATACTACTATTCATTGATAAAAACATTTAAATTTATAACGAAAATCTAAGTAGTGGGATTGTAGCATGATACCCACGTACTGAAATCATGGACTAAACTGACTCAACAAGTAATCCTAAAAAATAGCAACTACCCCACTTTCTAAAGAAAAAATCAGGAAGACTTATTCAAACTAAATAAACAAACTAGATAAAGACAATATCTACTTTTGCATCAGTTTTCAACATCCCCCCTTGATGCAAACTCTGCAACTCCAAGTGAGTTACAGAACTTCATGAATTCACTAAAACTGAGTCCTTTAGTAAATCCATCAATGACTTGATCACTTGTTGAACAATGCTCCAAAGCAATTAATCCATTTGCAACAGCAACTCGAATAAAGTGATATTGCAGCTCAATATGTTTTGTTCTTCCATGAAACACTGGATTCTTGGTCATTAAAATTGTTGCTTTGTTGTCATAGAAGATCTTTGTTGCCTTCTCTTGAACTTGTTACAAATCTTTCATAATCCTTTGCATCCAAATTGCTTGACAAGCAGCTGATGTAATGACAATGCATTCTGCTTCAGAAGAAGATAATGCAGTGCATTCTTGTTTTTTTGAACTCCAAGACACAGCACCTGAGCCAAGATTAAATATATATCTACTTGTGCTTTTTCTGTCATCTACAAAACCTGCCCAATCATTATCAGTAAAACCAAGCAATTTAAAGTTTGGCATTGGCTTGTACCAAATTCCAAAGTTGCTTGTTGTTCAAATGTAATGGATAATTCGTTTTGTTGTTCCAAGATGATGCACAGAGGGATTATGCATGAACCTTGAAACCAAGCTAACTGGGAACATGATATTAGGTCTAGTGTGTGTCAGATACATTAATCCGCCAACCCTGCTTCTAAAATACTTCTCATTAGCTCTTAGAGTTTCATCATCTACTGTCAGCTTGTCATTTGTATTCATAGGAGTAGCAAACATCTAGCAATTCTGCATGTTGAATTTTTTCAACAAATCCAATGCGTACTTCTCCTGTGAAACAAAAATACCATAATTAGTTTGGTAAATTTATAACCTAAGAAAATAATGTAGCAGCCCCAAATCAGACATGTCAAATTCAACAGACATATTCTTCTTAAATTCTTCAGACATATTCTTCTTAAATTCTTCAATAAGAATGTTAGAAGAACCAGTGTAAATAATGTCATCCACATAAACACAAATAATGAGAATATCACCTCCTTTCACCTTCACATACAAAGTGGGCTCATTTTCATTGCGATGAAAATCATTATCATGCAAGTATGAATCAAGTCTACCATACCAAGTTCGCGGGGCTTGTTTGAGTCTGTAAAGAGCTTTCTTGAGCTTGTACACCTTTTCTTCTTTGCCTCGAACAATGAATCCTTCAGGCTGCTCAACATAGACATCTTCTTCCAACCAACCATTTAAGAAAGTAGATTTAACATCAAACTGAAAAATCTTCCATTTCATTTGAGCTGCTAATGCTATCACCAATCTAACAATCTCAAATCTAGCAACACGAGAAAAGGTTTCAAGGAAATCAATACCATGTTTCTGCACATAGCCTTTGCCTACAAGTCTTGCCTTGTATTTTTGCACACTCCCATCTACTTTATACTTCACCCGATAGACCCACTTCACACCAATTGGAGTCTTCCCTTCTGGTTTATCTACAAGCTCCCAAGTGTTGTTCTTCTTAATCGAATCTATCTCCTCCTTCATGGAATTTTCCCATTCCTATTTTCCATATGCCTCATCATAGCAAGTAGGTTCTACCACTAGAAGTGCATAAGTATCTGGGTCATAAACTTGCTGCCAAGGTTTTTCCTTCCTAAGAATAGCACCAGACATGCTTCTAGTGAACATCCTTCGAGGTTGAGGAGTTGGAGCAGATTGTGGTGACATTGTTGGAGAACTTAGTGTAGGAGAAGATTGTTGGCCCATTTATGTCTCCTCTGCTTATGGCTCATTGGATTCACTTTCTTCATGTGACAAGTGCTGAATTTTTCCTTCATTCTACTCCTGTGCACTGTTCTCATCAAAAACAATATCTCTAAGAATAATTAGCTTCTTAGTAATAGGATTATACAAACGATAACCCTTGGACTCACAACTATATCCAACAAAAATACACTTCTCACTTTTTAGGCCCATCTTTGTGTGATCATTAGAAGCTATCATGGCATGAAAAATGCAACTAAAAACTCTCAAACTTACATTGGGCTTCCATTTCCACCCTGCTTCATATAGAGTCATATTACGCACTGCCTTTGTTGGAGAAATGTTGAGAATATGAACAGCAGTAGCAATTGCTTCAGCCTAGAAGGTTTGTGGAAGTTTCTTCTTATCCAACATGCTCTTTGCCATCTCCACAACTGTTCTATTCTTCCTTTCAGCAACCCCGTTCTACTTCAGAGTTCTTCTTACAATAAGTTGCCTCTTGATCCCATTTTACTTACAAAAACTACCGAACTCATTAGATAAAAATTCTCCTCCCTTATCGGTTCGAAGAATTTTTATTTGATGGCCACATTCTTTCTCTACGAAGGCTTTGAATTCTTGAAATTTTTCAAGAGCTTCTGACTTCTAAACAAGAAAAAATACCCATCTCATACGAGAAAAATTGTCAATGAACAATAAAAAATATTTGCTCTTGTTCAAAGACAAAGTTTTCATTGGCCCACAAATGTTAGCATGTACTAACTCCAAAGGCTCCTTTGCTCTCCATGCTTTCCCAACTAGAAATGCATTTCTGTGTTACTTCCTATAAACACAACCTTCACAAACATCATCAATAGGAACAATAGAAGGTAAACCATAAACCATCTTTTTTTGACTCAACAATTTCAACCCATTAAAATGCAAATGTCCATATCTCAAATGCCATAACTTGGAGTCATCTTTAACATTAGCAACAAGTGCAAGGTCATTCAAACATGAGATCTCAAGTGGAAACATTTTATTTTTAGCCATGGGAATCTTAGCAAAAGGCATATCAGATTTACTACACTTGATTTCACACAAGCCATCATGAAATTCAACCAAATACCCATTCTCTACCAACTGACCCACACTAAGCAAATTATGTGCCAAGTTAGGTATGTAATAAACATCATGAATCAACTTTTTGATACTTGACTTGGTTCTAATTGCAATTGTTCCCTTGCCTTCAATTTGCACCTACTTATTGTCTCCAAGTTGAACTTTCAGCTTCACTGTCTCATCGATATTCTGAAAAAATCTTCTAACACTTGTCATATGATTACTACATCCACTATCAAGAAACCACAAGTTAGAATTGCTGACATCTGGAATTAAACAGGTGAGGAACAAGTTCTCTTCAACTTCTTTTTCTTCAACAAAGTTTTCTTGTTACTTTGCCCTCTCCCAACAGTTCACCTTGATGTGCCCATGTTTCTTGCAAAAATGGCACTGCTTCCCCTTATAATTTTGCTTCTGGTTGCCTCTTTCTCCATTCTCGTACTTCTGACGAGTTGAGCTTGATCCCCCCTAGCCTCGTCCATGGCCACGATAGCCTCCTCTACCTCTTCCTCTACTAGTAGAGCCTCTGTGATCATTTTTTTCCTGGCTAGAGATCTCTACCTTTGTTTGAAAGGCTTGCTCTGTGTTATTCTCTGCAAACCTATTCATTCTATCTTCATGTGCTAAAAGTGAGCCCATCAATTGATTAAGAGAATAAACAGAGAAATCCTTTGACTCTTCAATAGCAACTACAACATGATCGAACTTAGATGGTAGACACCTCAAAACCTTCGCAACAACCTTACGATCATCAACATGATCACCATAAGTTTTCAATTGATTAATAATGATAGAAACTCTGCTAGTAAAATCTTGAACTGACTCACCTCCTTTCATGCCTAAGTTTTCAAATTCTTTACGCAGAGTTTGAAGTTTCACAATTGTTACCTTGTCATCTCCATGAAACTCCTAATTTAGAATGGTCTAAGCTTCCTTTGACCTTGTAGCATTTGCAATCTAAGGAAAGATGGAGTTTGTTACTGCTTGTTGCAATACAAGCAATGCCTTTGCGTCCTTCTTTCGAAGATCCTTCATCTCTGTTGCTGGTGACTTCTCCGTTTCAACAAACCCATTCTCCACAAGATCCCACAGATCTTGTGAGACAGAGAAAGTCTTCGTTTTAATACTCCAAAAAACATAGTTCTCTCCATTGAATATGGGCACCAAGGATTGGGACAAATTCAATGAATTTGAATTGCTAGCCATGACGAAAATAGCTACAGCATCTAAGATCCCCTTGCTTCAGCAATGGTCTCAACTTCACAAGAATACCAATTGAACCTGGCTTTAATACCACAATTTGTTGGAGAAGAACAAAAAATAGAGTAAGGATAATTAAACTTGAAACGTAGAAATAGATAACAAAGTGAATGAAGAGTGAAAAGATAACTTTTTGGATACTACTATTCATTGATAAAAACATACAAGTTTATAATGGAAATCTAAGTAGTGAGATTGTAGCATGATACCCATGTACTGAAATCATGGACTAAACTGACTCAACAAATAATCCTAAAAAATAGCAACTATCCCACTTTCTGAAGAAAAAATTGAGAAGACCTATTCAAACTAAATAAACAAACTAGATAAAGACAATGTCTACTTTTGCATCAGTTTTCAACAAATGAAACAA